TTGGACCATTATGAAATTTTTCGAAAAATTGGAAAATTTCAAAAAAATTTTTTTTTTCAAATTTCGATTTTTTGGGAATTTTTTTCAGCATTCTCATTCTCGAACCATTTCAGACCGTTATATCAATTTTTATCAAAATCCAATCACTTTGAAAAAGGACCCCTAAAAGTGGGCGGAGCCGCCTAAATCGAAAAATCCAATTTTTCTGGAAAAAATCAATATTTTTACAGTATGACGAGCGAGACATCGAGTTCTTCATTCATCAAGTATCGGATAATCAAATCATTTGGGACAGAAGGAACACATTGAATTTCGATGGAAATTTAGTCCATGCCACATTTGATAAGATCGAAATTTGCTGTCAATTTTTGTCCCGCAAAAATGGTAAACCCTATTTTTCATGATTTGACGGGAATTTCAATTTTTTCTGCGAAAAAAAATGAAAAAAACGGGCCATTTTGAGCCATTTCAGGCCTTTTTAGCATGGTGGCCGAGTTTTTTTGGATTTCTAGGCCACTTAGGGGTAAAATGACTCAAAATGGCTCGTTTTACCTAATTTCCTCTCGAAATTTCAAGAAATTTGAAATTTTTATGCCAAAATTGACTTTTTGAGCCACTTTAAGCCATTTTAGACCTCGTGGCCGAGTTTTTTGGATTTCTAGGCCACCGGTGGTCAAGTGGCTCTAAATAGTCTAAAATGACTCGTTTTTTTGGGTTTTTCAAAAAAGAAATTTTGAAAATTTGCATTTCCCGCAAAAATCAAGGAAAAAACAGGCCATTTTAAGCATTTTCAGCTATCATGGCCGAGTTTTTCGGATTTCTAGGCCATTACGGGGTAAAATGGCTTAAAGTAGTCCAAAATGGCTCGTTTTTTCTGCAATTTTTGCATTTTTTAGGAGAAAACGCTGCCAGACTATGGACAGAACTCGCCAGTGAGTATAAACGAGAAAAATCGAGAATCGAGCAGCTACCAAGTGGAATCTATTCGGAAGAATTCGAATTACGGTTTCCATTTATGCAGCAAATGTGGTTTTTGGAGATCGGAGACGTCGCCGAGATGAAAGAGGCCGATTCGAATAGCCTAGAAGAGACGATTGTCAATTTGGCGCGACAAAAATCGATGATTGCACCGGCGGGAGATGGTAGGGAGATCAAAAAATTCAAAGTGATCGGTTTTTGATAAAAATTGATATGACGGCCTGAAATGGTCTAAAAATGACTATGCTAGAAAAAAAATTGCAAAAAAATCGATTTTTGAAAATTTGAAAATTTTTTCGAAAAATTTCAAAATTGTCCAATTCTGATAAAAATTGATATGACGATCCAAAATCGTTCAATAATCAATATTCTGCAAGAGAAAATCTGATATGCTTAAACTTCAGAAAATTTTTTTCGACCATAATTTTTTAAAATTTTCTCAACATTTCAATTTTCTAGACCCAATTCTCGCGCCAAATTCAAATTTCCCATCCATTTCAGTGCCAGAACCCTCCTTGACCCTCTTATCCACCCCAATCGACCAGTTGAACGCCACCATCACTCGTCTGATTACTGTAATGGAACAAAAACAGGAAGATACGGCGGGAATTCAAATTCCCGCAAAATACACTGATATCGTTGAACATTTGTGCACATTTTTGGATAAAATCCCTCGAGAAAAGCAAATGGAGACAAAATGCAAAATTTATAATTTTTTGGACTCTTTAAAATGACCTTTTCCCCCTTTTGTTGTGCTTTTTCTGTATATTTTTTCTTGTAAATAATAAAATTTTCATGTTTTTCTCAATTTTTGACCGAGAAATCACTTTTTTTCACCGAAAAAGCTCTGAAATTGGCTGAAATAGCTCAAAAAATCTGAAAATTCAATAAAAGCTTACTGTAGAAATTTAAAGGCGCATGCTATGTTTTGTTCTGATGGCCTCGCAACGATTTTAAAATTTTCTTTTTTTTTTGAAAAATTTTCAGTTTTTGCATCATTTTCCTTCATTTCCAGCAGATTTTCGTCAACTTTTTTCAATTTCCCACTGAAATTTTGAGAATTAATCAATTTTCACACCAAAAATCAGTATTTTCCCCGGAAAAACCAGAAAAACAAGGTGCGACGTGCGAAAAGGGAAAAAGCGAGCAAAAATGTACATAATTCAAGGGGGAACGGCAGAGAAAATAGAGAAAAAGCGAGGGATTTGGTGTAAATAAGAGAGATCTTTTCTATTTTTTGCGGCTGAAAATGGTTTTTAGCAAAAAAAAATTTTTTTTGAAAAAAATATTTTTTCGGAATTTTTCTGGAAAAAATGGCAAAAGGGGGTTAAAAAATTTGGAAACTACGAAAAAATGGGTCTAAAAAGTCTGAAAAATCTGAATTTTCAAAAAAAAAGTTTTATTCAGAATTTTCGGGAAAATATTTACTATTTTCCCATGTTTTTTCATCATTGATCTCTCAGAAAAAGAAAGACACAAGCCTCCCTTTTTGGTCTTTCTTTTTCTTGTTTATCTCGGAATTTTCTAGAAAAAATCGTTTTTTGGCGAAAAATGGATTTTTTGAAGACTAGTTAGGCTTAGAACTGTGCATTTTAAAGCTTTCTAGACTCGAAAAATCGATTTTTCTGGAAAATGTGACCCTGAAAATCGAAAAATTTTCCATTTCCACCAAAAATGAAACAATTCGAAAATAGCCTAAAATTTCGATTTTCACTCAAAAATCCTTAAAAAATCACATTTTCAGGATGGAAATCAAGTTTTTTGGCTCAAAATCCCTATTTTACAGCCAAAAATTGAGAATTCTATCGAAATTTCCATATTTTTACATCTAAAGTTAGCTATTTTAGGCCAAAAATCACGATTTTCAGACTGAAAATAGCTTAAAATCGCGTGTTAAATTGGCCTGAAATGCAAATTCGCTCCATTGGACTCTCTTTCTCCAAGGCTTCCTCCTCAAACCGCCCTCCTGAGCATTGCATTTTTCACATTTTGCACGTAGTAGAGTCCCCTCTTCTTCTCTGCGTCTCCCCAGTCTCCATACTCTCTCGTTTTGAAAAAAAAAAGAGAGAGAGAGAGATTGAAGAGAGAGACGCAGAGAGAAGCAAAAGGGATAGCGAATGTTCCCGTCCGTTGTTTCCCTTCTCTTTTTTCTCTGGGCTAGCCTACTTTTTACCCATTTCCCGTCCTATTTTACTGATAAAAAGATAAGGATTATCATTGATTTTTGAAGATTAAAATTGGCCTAAAATTGATCTAAAAAGTCCCGAAAAATAGGGGATTTTTAGAGCTAAAACGGATGAAAATAGCGAAAATGCAGTTTTTAGCCTATTTTACCTATAAAAATGCATTACAATTGGTTACAAAAATCCCAAGAACTAGGCCGAAAAATAGGGGGAATTTCAGGAGCTAAATAGCTTAAAATATCGATTTTCAGCGCTAAATACAAGGAAATTGTCCTGAAAATGGCTAAAATTGCGTCATTTTTGAACCAAACTTGAGGTTTTTCGCTGAAATTTGCACCTTTTCCGACAAAAAACGACCAAAAATCTGCAAATTTCAGCCTTAATTGGGATTTCTAGATTAAACAAAAAAACAAACATTTTCGTTTATATCTTTCTTTTTGTGTCATTTTTCGCACGTATCGGTCATCTGATACATCCTTCTCGCCTTCACGGCATCGCGGTTGGGAACCTGAAAAACGCGCGGTTCGTCGCACACAAAAGTTGGGTGCGTGCCAGATTCGAACATTTTGAAACGTGTTTTGAAAAAACGTGAAGTTAAAGGTGGTGTACGGTGAAATTTTTTTATTGCATCAAAATGTGCATAAATGCATGTAGATTGAGATAAAAATAAAGAAAAAATTCAAAAAAAATTCCTTCGGCGAGAAAAACGCATCGAAAAATATGCTGAAAGCCCTTAGGGACGAGGTTTTTTCTAGGCCGCCCGGTGAGTAAAAGCGCGCGAATTCAAACTTTTAAAATTTTTTCGCTCGTTTTCACTGTTTTTTTCAAATTTTCCGATGTATCTGGAA